CTTATCATTTCATATAAATATATATTCTGTTAAAAGGAAAGAACTAAATAGAACCCTCCAATTCTACAATCAGCAGAGCTTACAAAAACTTTGAAAACCTTATATTAAATACCTGGGATTTTTCCACAGAAGCTGTGTGCTTATCACACATCGGGCTAATCTCCATTCCCCTCTCCCGCTCTTTGTCTCCCTGCTGGAAAAATTCCTCCATGATGCGGTCTGTCCATTGCCGATACAATTCCAAGGACTTGGTGGGGTTGCTTAGGTCTGCACAGTGTACCATGTTCCGAAGGACCTGAAAGCATCAAGTTTTGGAAATCTCATAAAATTAGGTGTAGACACTACTAGAACATGGCATCCCTCTTGTGTTAGTACATTTGGTACCAAACCTAAGAACTTTTTAGTTGCATTATAATTATGGTGTGTGCACCAAAAAAGCAGAATTACAAGGGTGCTGGCCAGAATTGGTTAAAATGGGAGTCCCAAATAGGAAAATGTGTGTCTTCTCAAATTGATGGTCATTGAATTTAAAAACTGGAAAGGACATTAGAGGTCAGATACTGCCACCATTTCCTTTCCTCAGTTTGGAAAAAATGCAAAGAATTACTCAAAGTAGATATCTTCATATTTTCCACTTGTGGAAAGAGACCAGCTGATGGCAATTTGTATAACTAAAACAGACTTAACAAACTGCGAGTCAATAGGATTTATATCCAAACATCAGCTTTGGGGACCAGCAGTCACGTACACCCGATTACAAATAGATCTTGCCACTTATTTTTAGAACTAAGCAATTCAATAAATAGGGTTATGATTTTCCTTGTAAATTAGAGAATAAGCTGCAATGTTTTTCTTTGTTATATCTTAGCTTGCTCAGTTTGTCCTTAAAATAAGCCTATAGCTATAGTCATAACTGAGGACATGCAACTAATTTAAGTTTGTTTTCATTTTTTATTGTTGTTTGGTTTGGCTTTGTGTTCGATCAGAGGCTTTTTCTCAAATACCTGTATACGATCCGTATAGTTGTCCAGCAGAAGCACGCCTGAGCTTGTCACTTTCTTTGTTTCTACCATTGTCTTCAGGTCTGCCAGCAGGCTCATATGTTTGGACATATCAGTTGCTAACACCTTGGGTAAAGAGATAATGAAAATACTCAGTGAGCTCAGTGTATGAGAGAAAATGAGATTCCTCCTCCTGTGACGGGAGAAGGCAGTGAGGAACATGGACAGGCTGAAGTCTTACCATGTCAATAACCATCTTCCGGAGTGTCTGCCGCTGCTTCTTGGTGAGATTCTGAAAGATGTCACAGTGCTCTTCTTGCAGCAGTTTGAAACCCACGGCCAGATGATGGTTTTCCAACACAGATTCGTCATTGTACATCAAAGCAAGTTCTGAATCTAGTAAACAGGAAAAAATGATGACTTACTAAAAAGGGGTACAATTCAAAGGTCAGCATTACCTCACGATGAAATCAGATCTACCTCTATTCAAATAGTTTTAAGAACCAAGATCTGCATGCCCATTTCCTCTTAAAGAAACAGTCTCCCTCTACAAAGGGACGTAGTCAGTTTCTCAGCAAAAATACTTCCAGAAGTTATCAGTGCATAAGCTTTCTCTTTGATTAGAATTCCTGGTATTTTAAAATCCTTTTTCTCCTTCTCCAGTTTATAAAGAATTTGACATTAGGTAAAAGCATTCCCAAGCTGCTAAATCCTATTTTTATCTCAGATTGTAATTTCCTTTACGTGTTCACACATTTTGTGGCTTTGGAAAAGAATGAACTGAAAATGTCACTAAACTTTATCAAATGTATTAGGATTTTCAAACTATATTCACTTTTTATATGCCTGCCAGCTCTGTTAATTGTGAGTTATGGATTTTCAAAGAAGAGAATGGTGTGACTGTAAAATTTCAACTTATCCAAATAATGTAGCTTTTCGGAGCTTTCTACGTACGGTAACAAAACATTAATACTTTTTTAGAACAATCCTGATGCTAAATGTTCTGCTATCTGGCTCTATACGCCAGAGACTGC